TTACATTTTGGCATGTTTTTGCAATGACTGGTACTGGTTTTTCCTTTCCATGTTTAGTGCTTCCTTCAGGAGCTCTTGTAGGGCAGACCTGGTGGTGACAAAATCTCTCAGCATTTGCTTGTCTGTAAAGGATTTTATTTCTCCTTCACTTATGAAACTTAGTTTGGCTGGATATGAAATTCTGGGTTGAAAATTCTTTTCTTTAAGAATGTTGAATATTGGCCCCTACTCTCTTCTGGCTTGGAGAGTTTCTTCCAAGAGATCTGTTGTTAGTCTGATGGGGTTCCCTTTGTGAGTAACCCGACCTTTCTCTCTGGCTGCCCTTAACAGTGTTTCCTTCATTTCAACTTTGGTGAATCTGACAGTTATGTGTCTTGGAGTTGCTGTTCTCGAGGAGTATCTTTGTGGCATTCTCTGTATTTCCTGAATTTGCATGTTGGCCTGCCTTACTAGGTTGGGAAAGTTCTCCTGGATAATATCCTGCACAGTGTTTTCCAACTTGGTTCCATTCTCCCCGTCACAATCAGGTACACCAATCAGACATAGATGTGGTCTTTTCACATAGTCCCATATTTCTTGGAGGCTTTTTTCATTTCTTTTTACTCTTTTTTTCTCTAAACTTCTCTTCTTGCTTCATTTCATTCATTTGATCTTCAATCACTGATACCCTTTCTTCCAGTTGATCGAATTGGTTACTGAAGCTCATGCATTTGTCATGTAGTTCTTGTGTCATGGTTTTCAGCTCTATCGGGTAATTCAAGGACATCTCTACATTGGTTATTCTAGTTAGCCATTTGTCTAATCTTTTTTCAAGGTTTTTAGCTTCTTTATGATGGGCTTGAACTTCCTTCTTTAGCTTGGAGAAGTTTGATCATCTGAAGGCTTCTTCTCTCAGTTTGTCAATGTCATTCTCTGTCTAACTTTGTTTCATTGCTGGCGAGGAGCTGCGTTCCTTTGGAGGGGGAGAGGTGCTCTCATTTTTAGAATTTTCAACTTTTCTGCTCTGTTTTTTCCCCATCTTTGTGGTTTTAACTATCTTTGGTCTTTGATGATGGTGACATACAGATGGGGTTTTGGTGTGGATGTCCTTTCCATTTGTTAGTTTTCCTTCTAACAGTCAGGATCCTCAGCTGCAAGTCTGTTGGAGTTTGCTGGCAGTCCACTCCAGACACTGTTTGCTTGGGTATCAGCAGTGGAGGCTGCAGAAGAGTGAATACTGCTGAACAGCAAATGTTTCTGCCTGACCGTTCCTCTGGAAGCTTCATCTCAGGGGGGTACCCAGTCGTGTGAGGTGTCAGTCTGTCCCTCCTGGGGGATGCCTCCTGGTTAGCCTATTCAGGGATCAGGGACACACTTGAGGCAGTTTGTCTGTTCTCAGATCTCAAACTCCATGCTGGGAGAACCACTACTCTCTTCAAAGCTGTCAGACAGGGACATTTAAATCTTCAGAGGTTTCTGCTGCCTTTTGTTTGGCTATGCCCTGTCCCCAGAGATGGAGTCTACAGAGGCAGGCAGGTCTCCTTCAGCAATGGTGGGCACCCCTACCCCAGCCTTGCTTCCACCTTGCAGTTAGATCTCAGACTGCTGTGCTAGCAATGAGGGAGGCCCCATGGTCGTGGGACTCTCTGAGCCAGGCATGGGATATAATCTCCTGCTGTGCTGTTTGCTAAGACCCTTGGAATAGTGCAGTATTAGGGTGGGAGTGACTTGATTTTCCAGGTGCTGTGTTTCATGGTTTCCTTTGGCTAGGAAAGGGAATTCCCTTACCCCTTGAATTTCCCGGGTGAGGTGATGCCTCGCCCTGCTTCAGCTCTTGCTGGGTGGGCTGCAGCCACTGTCCTGCACCCACTGTCTGACACACCCCAGTGAGATGAACCTGGTACCTCAGTTGGAAATGCAGAAATCCACATTTCCCTTCTTAATGCTGTTATTGTCTCCTCATTGTCCAGTATAAACTTCATTATGCTTATAAGGCCCTTCACCATTTCACCCTCACTTACCTTTCTAGCTTCATCTCTCACTACTCTTTCATATTCCTTTCACCATTATGTCCTTTTGGTTCAGGTATAGGTGTTAACTGTACCTGTTGAGCCCTTCCTATGCATGTTCCAGGAGCACACAGTCTACTGTGGGAGACCAGTTGGATGCACAGTTTGCCAACAAAGATCAAATTACATTTAAGCATGGTGATACTAAATTCCAGTAAGGGAATGAAGCAACAGTGAGGACTGGAGCCATCAAGGAAGGTTCCCATGGAAGAGGTGAGGTGTGAGGAGGATGGAGAATGGGATTTGGACTGGCAGAGGTACTTTCAGACTGGGGGAAAGGGGCCATGAGAAGTAGGCCTCTAATAAAAGTAGAGGGTAATAATCTGGACACTGATCAATATAGTATCCTTGTTCTAAGCCAGTCTGGGTGGACAAATTGGAGTTACTTTTTAGTGTGTTTCAGGCACAGAACAGGAAATGGTGGATAGCAGCAGAGTTACTGGCCAAATAATCTGTACATAAAACCTGCTTTCTTTCCTGGTAAATCCTGCTGGCTTCTACCATCCCCTTCTCATACCACACAACCTCCCTTGCCTCCAAAAGATTCTACTGTATCTCTAAAGCTAAAGTTGTGTGAAGAAAGGGGAAAGAGGGTACTTCAGAGAAACTGAGGCTTGGGATGAAATGCCATAGAGAAAAGTTTCTGTCTCCTGGTTACCAGGGCTTCTTTTCAGTGGGCTGCATTGTACATCCCAACCTGAAAAGGGTGAGGAGATTTTATAGTGGGAATTATGTTTGGAAAGTGTCATGTGAAAAATAACCCTTCTCATGGTGATGATGATCATATGTTTGCTCTACTAAGACAAAGAATTCTCTTTCAACATAACTTTTCTACACAGAAACAGAAAAGTTGTTTAGAGTTGACTGATTGCAATACTAAGTGCCCTGTTTTAAGTTAAAAATATCCCACAAGTGAATCATACATGTGCATCTTCTCTCTCCCCCCTCCTCTATACAAATACATTCACACCCTTCTTTATTGCCATAAATAATGCTCCTTTTCCTTGCCTTCTGCAGCATTTTGAATCATGGAAAGTTAGACTATTCTAGGACTTGATAGCCTGATCCATTCAAATCTCTATTAAAAAGGGTTTGTTCATTTTGTCAGTTTTCCAGGCCCAACTCCCCATTTCACTTTTGTAGTTGACTATATATGAACATTTCTTGAGTTTCTGGGGCAGGGCAAGGGCACACAGAGAAGAAGAAATCCTAAATAAGCTAGTGTTTTATAGAGATGTATGCTCAAGGTGGGTGGAGGTGGCAGGAGATCTTAGGGTCAATGACTAAAGCAAGGTTTCTTAGGGGTGTGTTCCTTTTACTTACTAATACGGTTTTGCTGTGTCCCCACCCAAATCTCATCTTGAATTGTAACTCCTACAATTCCCACATGTCGTGGGAGAAACCTGGTGGGAGGTGATTGAATTATGGGGACGGGTCTTTCCTGAGCTGTTCTCGTGATAGTGCATGAGTCTCATGAGATATAATGGTTTTAAAAATGGGAGTTTCCCTGCACAAGCTCTCTGTTTGCTTGCCGCCATCCATGTAAGACATGACTTGCTCCTCCTTGCCTTCCGCCATGATTGTGAGGCCTCTCCTCCGTGGGGAACCGTAAGTCCAATAAACCTCTTTCTTTTGTAAATTGCCCAGTCTCGGATATGTCTTTATCAGCAGTGTAAAAATGGACTAATACATTTACCTTGTTTTTCTAGGTTTTAGGTGGTATGACAAATGAAGCAACAGGAATATCATAACTGTGGGGGACACTGCTCATTGCCTCCCCAGTAGAAACCCTTTACTCCTTGCTAACAGAACTCTGATTTTGGTTTAAGAATCAGGTAGCAATGTGCTCAGGGAAGGGAACCCACTTCTAGAGGGTCTGAATCCACTATGTAATCCCAATTCCCCTTTGCCAGTGACTGGTGAAGGCATGGGCATGTGATTCAATTCTGGCCAATGTGACACAAGAAGGAAATCTGCTGGCATCTTTGCTATCTTTGGACCTCTCATTATGTGAGATAATTAAACGTTATTGTTTAAACAACTTTTAGACAAGTATTTTATTACTTGCAGCCAAGACCATCCTCTCTGATACGCTAATCAATTTGAAAACTCTCAATATCCACTTTAATTTTTTTGAAAAGATTATTTAATAATCTACTTTATTAGGGTCACAAATTTATGGAATGTTAGAGCTGGAAGGTTTGAGGACTGTCTAATCTATTTCCTTCATTTCTTGTTTCTGCAGACTAAGAAAGTCAGACACTGAATGTTGGGACTATGCTGTATGCTCTATAATCTCTTTAAATGTCTAATACTGATTTTGTAGAATTGTGGTAAAATCAGAATTTTTGACCCAGATGAGAGCTACACTGAATTTTCTTTTATCCTCACTGGCTTAAAAAACAAAAACAAAAACAAAAACAAAACCCAAACCCCAAAAAACAGATTTCCTAAATAACAGTAAAATAGATCTCAGAGGGGATATTGCTTTTACTTAAGAAAACTTCCAAACATCCTAGAAATAGCTATTTATATACACGTGAATAACAACATGCTCATATATTCATTAAAAAAGATGTCTAAAGAGCCTTCATAGTCACTATTTTTCTAAATTTCAGTCACTGTTTCATTTAAAAATAATAGAATTACATATCTTAGAAATATTCAATAAATGAGATTGGCCTTACCTTCTGATTAATTCAAGTTTGAGAGACTTTACTTAATTGTATGTCAATATTCTACCTGACATTACTTCCATCTTTGCTTACCATTTTCTCCCAACTAAGCTTTTCTAATGAGGAAAAAAGTAACTTACATAAACAAAAACTTCTGCTATCTGGTGTTATAACAGATATACCAGGCTTCCATTCTACCTAATTTCTACATGAGAAAATTGTTATCCATTTCCATGATGCCAAATGACGATAACACTTGAAAACCAGTGGTGCTTACCTGAGTGATGTCCATTCCTGAGTCACAGCTCAGTGGTTGTGTGGAAGTCAGACCATTTGAGCCGATTACAGTTGTGATCACAGCATTCTCATCAATTTTGCGAATCATAGTCCCATCCACAAAGTAAATGAATCCATGCCTATCAACTGTGATGCCTGTTGGGAAAGAGCAAATGAGCATTAGTAGTCTAGTGAACCACATTTGTACTAAGTTCTGTATTTTGAAAAAAGCTATAGCAATGGAAAGGCATTTTAAAGACATATAGATTAAGTTTTGCTCAGCACAGACAGGACAGTAATGGGAGAGGTTTGTTGGGGCATACATTCACATCTTTGTGTATTGAGAAGAAATGACAAAAAGTCACATGCAGAGATAAAGCCAGGTCTAATAATTTTGTTTTGTCCAGTTTTACATTTCCACCCCCTTGATACTTGCTTGCCCCCACAATTAAAAATCATCTTTAAGTGGGAAAAGACAGGGAGATCATGTATATTACATTTCTTTTAGGGTGCTGATGCACACACTGCTGCTTATTTTCATGATTGCATTAGCAAACAACTGACTTGAAAAGCATTATAATTATTTTCATCAATTCAGACTTTGTTAAAAGGGAGTTTGTAATAACTCTGATAAACTGGGCTGAGTTTTTTCTCCATATTATCTATTAAGGGGGGTTGGAGAGCAAAATTATAGTATCACAAAGGGAATGGCTAAGTTTCTAGAAAAGATAAAAGCTGATAAAAATTTTCACAGTTTTTACACACTGTGTTGATTACAGCCTGGTTTCTTAAAATTTTTATTATAATAGCAGTTCGAAGGCTTGGGTTCTAATACTGAATACCCCACTTACAACTAATGTGTGACTTTGAGTCATTCATTTGCAAATTTCAGACTCCTCTTTGGTAACATAGGGACAGGATCATCTGCCTTATTTAGCTAAAGTGATCTACTGCTCTGGTTTGGCTGTAACTGAGGCAGAGATCAGTTTTAAAGCTAGGACCATCCTTGACAAACCAGGATGAGCTGGTTACTCTATATCTTGTTTTTTTTTTGTTGTTGTTGTTTCTTTTTTAGGGAGTTTTGCTCTTGTTGCCCAGGCTGGGTACAATGGTGCAATCTCGGCTCACTGCAACCTCCGCCTCCCAGGTTCAAGCGATTATCCTGCCTCAGTCTCCCAAGTAGCTAAGATTATAGGCGCCCGCCAGCACGCCTGGCTAATTTTTTGTATTTTTAGTAGAGACAGGTTTTCACCATGTTGGTCAGGCTGGTCTCAGACTGACCTCAGGTGATCCACCTGCCTTGGCCTCCCAAACTGTTGGGATTACAGGCGTGAGATAGCGGGCCTGGTCCTAGGTTGTTATATAATATGAAATAATACATATAAAAAGTATCAGATACACTTTAAGAACATATGGCTCTACTCCTATTTCCCTCAGAGCTTTTGACAGTGCTCTTGAAAATAACCACATGGCATTTTTCAAACTAGTCTACAATTTAGTCTTTTCCTCACTTCCTTTTATTTAGGTTTGGTGAAACTCATTGAATGGATGTTAAAGTCAGAATTTCTGTGCTAGCAAGCATGTCCTTTTAACACAACACAACACACAAACACACACACACATATGAATTTTCTGGCAAAATGTGAACTCATCTAGAGTCATTTTATAAACCCAACTTAATAAACTGCTTTTAGATGAACTAATTCATTGGCAGGAAGTTAATATTAAGACTTGGCTTTATGGTATACTTTGATTAATCCTGATGTTCCTCATGAAGTATTAATTGTTAGCATCTATAAAAGTTACAAATTCATTTTAATGTCCCCTGAATACTTCTAAAGTCATCTATGTTTTGGTGAGTTCTCCAAGGAAACCATCATGTCCAAACAAGGGATTTCCATGTCCATATATCCCTTTATGATTTTTAGAGGCATAAGGACCCTTAAGGTGGTTTATAAAAAGACTTTTAAGACTGGGGCAGGTTAAATGATGATGGCATATGAACAATTATTTAATCTCTAGAACATTTTGGGTGAGGATGAACCAAGGGGGAACTTCTGCCTGTTATTTTTGTGTTTTGGCAACATCAATTTCTTGATTGCTTAAAATTTGGTGTGGTTTGTGACAGACCTATTATTTAGAATCACCTTCTATGACCACTATATTAAATATTGCTGAGTATAAAATTTCAAATTTGGCTGTCATAAGGGGATAGACTGAAAGATCAAGACTCAAGACTCAAGTCTGGAGACGGAAAGACTGAGAGGAGTTGTGCTCGACATGTACGAAATCATGAATCATTTACTAAGCACTATGATTTCTAAATCATAGTGACTGTCACTATGCTAGACTCTGTGAGGGTATAAGGACAAAGAATCTGGTGACACTGAAACTAAGACTAAGAGGAATACTCTGGAACTTTAGTAAGTTAAGGATATTAAAAATAAAATGAAGTGTTGCTCTTCTGAGGAGGTAGTAAACCTAGAGGATCTGATCCTCTAAAAATTTGAGCAGGTTCACAAAAGGTATAGAGAAATAAATGTATTCTTAACTAGTATATGTGGGAAGGTCTTTACATCTCTTTGCTGATATCAGGGAGGACAATTCTTTTCTTTGACTACCACACTTCTCATCCCATCAGAGTGCAAAGTTTAGGATGATCCAGGGAGGATAATCTGGGACTTTACACAGTGTTCTTACTTTTACTTTTTGTGAAGATCTAAACACTGTGAACTTCTTTCTCTCTGTTCATGTCAGCTGAGTTCCACAGATGAGTGTCCTTTGAAATAAGTCTGGGCTTATTAAATACTCACTATTTGCCTTCAGGGCTTATTCTGCTGACAGTTTGTGGAATATTTTCCTTTCATATATTTGTGTAGCAACTTCTTTTATCATGGTCCAAATTCCAAACATACTTCTTTTTCCTTGAGAAGCTTTAATTAACTTTGATTGGGTTACACTTATGTTTGGAGTTGAAAAAGAAATAGTAGAAAAGGCTTTGAGGAAACTATGTGATAGGTGCTTCATAAATGTACCTAGGCATATTTTATATGTACATATTTTCCTCTCATTTGCCTTCCCTTACCAACCAATCAACCTACCAACACATAAATTCCCCAAACAACAATTTTGCAACCTCTTTGCTGGTGAAGTTTAAGGGGTATTTAATTTTCACTGAGGGTAAAAATCAAATTGGAAACCCCAGGCAGGAAAAAGAGAATAATATTTGTCCATCATTTGGGGAGGTTTCCCCTCCCATAATGCTTATTGTTATAACCCAGGGATAGTGATGATGCAGTAGATATATTACTGCTTATCAGAATGAGTGAAAGGAGGTGACACATTCCCAGTATATATTTTAAGCTTTATTCTTTGGAGATGGGCATGTGAGTGATTTCAGATCACATAAAGCCAACTGGGGCTAGCAAGATCTGCAGATTCAATTTACTTTCCAATTTTGATATTGTTGTGCCCAGATCTCCAAAACTTGGTAACCAATGTTGTGGGCATAATTTGTTCCAACGGTCATGTTCATTGATGTGCTCATTGACAGCATTTTCATTAGCACTTAAAACACAATCAAAGGTACAGTCTCTGGATGAGAAAAGATTTAAAGATTTAAGCCATACTAAGAAAACCACTTCCAGGTTTAAAAATTTTGAACCAGAATTCATTTACAAAGCAAGTAAAAATATAGAGATCTCCGATATTACCACAAGGTTAGGCAGTGATGCGAGGCAGGTGGAGGTGGAAGCGGGAAGAAAACACACAATAGCTTGAGTCCCCTCACTTTAAATCTGAATTTAAAAATCCCCCTGCACCAAGGAAAACATTGGCCTCAGATGCCCAGACAGCATGTTTAGCTTGGAGCACATTTTTACATTTGGGAGAAAATAAATAAATCATTGTAAATTAGTGCATATAATGAAAGTACTGACAGACCATAACCTGGAAGTGTGAATGGTGCTGTCTCCATTCATCAGCATTAAGCCCTAACAAGCTCTTTCTATGGAGAGACCTGCTCATAAATAAAGCGCATCTTGTAAAAAAATTATTCACAACATCCCATGCAAAGTAGGGGATATTATATAATATGCGAACTGCAGGCTCTTTTCTTTGTGAAGCATTGCTCTGTATGAAACCGCTGCAAATTATAGGCGAAATTATTTGACTTCTTCCCTTGTCTTATTATCCTCCAATGAATAAATACTATAATTCTTAAGAAGACAATTGCCTAAAGCTGGGGCAGCCTGGATAGTTACTTATAAATTTATCACCTGTGAGGGGAAAAAGACGCTACTGATCAATACTGAAGGAACAGGGGCATCCTGATGTAATCACTGAGAGTCCAGATGTGGTGCTTAATAGCCTGCAAATAGTAGCTAAAATCCCAAATTAGATAACAGTGAAGATCAGAGTTTTTGGCTGTGTAGAATGCCAATTTCAAATGTTGGCAGAAGGCATCTCTGTACTTAATTTTTTAAAATTACAGCTGTTGAGGCCACCTACATTTTTATTATTTCTATATAAAAAATGAAACATCTTTCAGAATATAAGCTTTGGAAAGCAGTCATAACATTTTCTTCATCTATAGCCCTAGCAACAAGAAAACTGAAATACTGGATGTTTTTGGCCACAATCTACTGTTTAATTTTATGAGACAAAGATAAATGGTTAAATCAACTTCCAGGGAAAGTCCTAAGCCTAATATGGTGTCAGCTCAATCCCCAATACTGAGAGTGCTGAATTGTGTAACTGATTCAAAAATATTCTTTAAGCCAAAGAGAATTTTTCTTTGTTCATGTGCATTCCAATTCTCTGAAAATTGGTATTATATGTGTGGTATATATGGAAACTCTACTAGGCAGAAAAGTCCATTCTTCAACCCATCTGACTACTGTCCACTTAATTACCCTCTGGGATCAGAAAGGGCCAAGTTACTTATGCATAATAAGCCTGGTAAGTTCTCTCACTGTGTAGCCACTAAATGGAGCTTCTAGAACTTGGAGGGTTTGCAGATTTCTGTGTGTCAATAGAGGTTGGAAGGAGGCAGAGCTTAATGACCAGCTGAGATGATTTCACTGTGTGGTTAACAATGGCATCATGATTTCTCCAGTAGGAAACACTAATAAACTCACTGTAATATTATATGACTA